TCCCCTCACTGTTAGTACCTTCTACCTTCAAGCACTTGTCCGTGTGTTTTCTTTTGTATTAAAAGAAGAATGTTTTCTCACTACCTTAGTCTGATAGCTTTAAAATACAGTTTCTACCCTTATGGAACTCATGTTAAGCAAAAATACATTTATCCAACATATTAAAACAATGTGGTAAAGGAAGAAAACTACCTTATTGTAGACATACTGTGTCTACACCATTGTTTAATCATTTTGTCAGCTGCCTCTTGTCACAAAATTGCTGCAATAGCAAACAGCCACAGAAACTCAGCTTGTGTTACTGTGGGCATTTATTCACACATCCGGGCTTAGGGCGGTTAGTCGTGGCTCTCCTGATTTCCCTTGGGCTTCCTCATGTTGGAGGGTTGGCTGGCTATCAGCTTATCTAGTTAGCATCTATGGATGGCTGGGGCAGCTCAGCTCTGCTACCAGTAAATGCATCCTTTGTTCCTCCAGCAGGCTAGCCCAGGCAGTGCTCTTGTTTACAGGAGAGCTGGACAGTAGTTAAAGTGGTAGAAACAAATTTTATTCAGGACTGTTGGAATCAGGGAAAAGACCTCGGTACAGAACTGGGCTCAACTCCAAGTACACTGTGGGGAGGGGAATTTACAGCTAAGGAGCAGGGGAGGGGTGAGCGGATGGAAAATTACATCAGCAGTGAGGGGATCTGGCTGACCTAACAGAGGAGTCCTTGCTGAAGACAGGCTAGGTGACCAGATCAATGTCAAAGCCAGTGCCACATATTTTAGATTTTTATTATATAGCACCCCACTCCTGGTACCAATTTCTGTATCTCAGGGGTCCTCAAACTTTTTAAACAGGGGGCCAGTTCAGTGTCCCTCAGAACTGGAGGGTCGGACTATAGTTTTAAAAAAACTGAACAAATTCCTATGCACACTGCACATATCTTATTTTGAAGTAAAAAAAAAAAAACGGGAACAAATACAATATTTGTATTTGCATGTTGCCCGCGGGTCTTAGTTTGAGGACCCCTGCTGTATCCCTTCCTTATTGCCCATGCTGTTCCTTTTGTCTATAGTGTCTTTTCTCCATATCTCCTTCCCCTCTAGTAAACACTTTATCTTATCCTTCAAACACAACTCAAATTCACCCTCTGTGAAGTGTTCTGTTAGTGATTGTCCCTCCTCGATATTTTCACAGAATTTTGTACATAAAGCTGTCATTGTAAAGACATTACACGTCTTTACAGCTTGCTAGGTTGGGACCTCCTTCAAGGTAGAAATCTAATTTCCCCTTTCTTTGCAATCATGGGGTCAGCATTGTGTGTTAGCATTATACATGTTTGTTGAACAAATGAGAGTGAACGAATCAGTGAAAATCACATGCAGAAAAAAGGGGAAAATTTAGAAGGTGGAGACAGAGCTGGCTTTGCAGTTGGTTACTGTGCAACTCTGGATGAGTAGATATTTTTCGGAAAATGGATGAAAGATTCAACGATGAATGCAGATAGCCAAAGCCAAAGTACAGCAGGGAGGACTTGCCTGCACATTTACCCGCTTGACAGAGTAATTACAGGACCTATAAGTTCTAGAGAATCAGGCAGGAAGTTGCCTGTGTGAGGGCAGGGACTGGGCCTTTTCAGTGGGGACCTGCGGCTGTGCCCTCTGGAACAGGTACTGCCTGATTTCCTTGGTCCTGGCCCCGTAGATGATGGGGTTGATCAGACACGGGAGCAGTAGGTAGAAGGCGCTGAGCAAGTTGTGCACGTCCTGGGAGGCAGTGCGGGCCACACGGTAGACGATGGATGAGGACATGGTCGAGGAGTAGACGGTGAAGATGACCAGCAGGTGGGAGCCACAGGTGTTCAGGGCCTTGGAACGTGCTCTGCCTGATGAAATTCGGAACGCAGCATGGATGATGCGGGCGTAGGAGGCTCCAAGCAGCAGCATGTCCAGGACTCTGTTGAAGATGCGGACAGTGAGCCCCACAGTCTTGTTTAGGGAGATGTCCCCACAGGAGAGCTTCATCAGGGCCATGTGCTCACAGGCAAAGTGGTGGATCACATCTGAGCGGCAGAAGTGTACCCGGGAGGCCAGCCCCACCACCGGAGCAACAACACCTGTGCTCCTGGCAGCTGCCACCCCCACCAGGCAGGCCAGCAACTGGCCTGTCACTATCTCGGGGTAGCGGAGCGGGTTGCAGATGGCAACGTAGCGGTCCAGGGCCATGACCAGGAGGATGTTGCAGTCAAAGACAATGAGGAAGTAGATGCAGAACATCTGGACCAGACAGCGTGCCAGGGAGATGCGGTTGAAGCGGGAGTAAAAGCTGAACAGCATGGGGGGCACCACGGCGGTGGCGGCACAGATGTTGACAGCCAGGAGCAGGGCGATGAGCAGGTACATGGGCTGGTGCAGGCTCCGCTGGGCCGCTACGGTGTGGATAACCAGGGCATTGGCAGAGACAATCACCAGGTAGAGACCGAGGAAGGGCAGCACCAGGAGTGTGCGTGTCTCCTGCAGCCCCGGAAAGCCCATCAGGAGGAAGCTGGTGTAGGACAAGTTGGAGTTGCCATTGCCCCACGCTGACATGTTCCCTGGGGAGCAGGATGACTCTGGGAAGATAAGCGGGGCAGGAAGCCTGGGTTCTGTACCTTGGCCCCTACCAGGCCCTGCCCCAACTTTACCAGGCTTTGCTCTCCATGAGCAGCCAATATTCTTAGGGGGAAAAATGAGAAATTAAGTGTCATAATTTAATGAGAAACGTTTCTTTCAACAAATCTTTGCCTGCATTTCAAATAAACCCCTCAGGGTAGATTTTGGATATAGAATTGTTGAGTCATATGACATGAACATTTTTGAGAGTGCCAAGTAGATTTCCAAGAAAGTTGTATCAGTCTTGTCACTGAATCATCGGTGCTATTATTAAATTATTATAAATTAAAAAATTTATTTTAGTAATTTAATGGTTGAAAAACATCTCATTTTAATTTGCATGTTCTTCTTTGTGAATTTTCTCTTCATGTACTTTGCCCCTGGACTACTAGGGACTGTTTCTCTCAGCAATTTAAATATTAAAATCATTCTCCATTGAAACAGATTTTCCAAATCTTGTTACTATTTTTATTTTGTTTATGATGTTATTAAGAGTAAAAGTTTTTTTTTGGGGGGGGAGGAGACATATGTAATACTCTTTGTAATACTGTAAGCAATAAAACAAAAATTTAAAAAAAAACCCACAAACACACAAAAGAGTAAAAGTTTTAACTTTTAAAAATTAAATCTATTGATATTTTTTATTGTGGGTTCTTTTCTTAAAAAAAAATTTTTTTTATTGATTTCAGAGAGGAAGGGAGAGGGAGAGAGAGAGATAGAAATATTGATGATGAGGATCACTGATACCAGAGACAGAGCCTGCAAGCTGGGCATGTGCCCTGACTGGGAATTGAACTGTGACCTCCTGGTTCATAGGTCAATGCTGAGCGACCAGGCGAGTTCTTTTCTTGGTTTCAAGCTTAGCAATTCTTTCCTCATTCGAAGATCAAAAAAATAGTATATTATGTTTTGTTGTTCTTTAAAATATGGCCTAATTCTTTATGTTAAGTTTTGAGCCACATGAAATTCAATTTGATATGTGACATGAGGTGTGTAATTTAACTTGATATTTCCCCCCGCCAAGTTGCTAAATAATTGTTTAAGTTCCATTTTCTCCACTGCTTTGTGTTACTATCTTTTAGCTGTTGTTAATCCTCACCAGAGGATATATATTTTCCCCCCATTGATTTTTTGAGAAAGTGGAAGTGGAGATGGAGAGACAGAGAGAGAGAGAAACATTGATGTCAGAGACACATCAATTGGTTGCCTCCCACATGCAGCCCAACTGGAACCAGGATCAAGGCTGCAACCGACGTACGTGCCCTCTTCAGCCCTGGGGCCGATGCTCTAACCACTGAGAAACCGGCCAGGGCTGTGAGGTACTTTCACATATAGGTTCCCCCCTTTTTAATAGCCAGAGGGTCTCCATTAGGCAGATATCACAACTGAGTCTGACATAAGAGGTCATCTTTTATTCGTTCATTTATTCAACCGGGATCGAGGCTGCAACCAACGTACGTGCCCTCTTCAGTCCTGGGGCTGATGCTCTAACCACTGAGAAACCGGCCAGGGCTGTGAGGTACTTTCACATATAGGTTCCCCCCTTTTTAATAGCCAGAGGGTCTCCATTAGGCAGATATCACAACTGAGTCTGACATAAGAGGTCATCTTTTATTCGTTCATTTATTCGGCATAGTTTTGAATTTATAATGTACCAGGCACTCTGCTAGGCGCTGGGCTTCATAGATACTCAGTCCGCTAGGGAGAACCAGAGTGGCATGGAGCCCCGGGAGCGCTAACAGCCTCAGGGTCGCGAAGGCTCCTCAGAGGAGAGGAGGTTAGTCAGAGCAGAAGTGGGTCGGCCAGAGGAAGGGAAGAGGGGGTGCAAGTGGTCTAATGGCATGAAGTTGGGAATTAATGGGGGTGGGTGGGATTAGAACTCTAAAGCCGAGATCCCTCTCACTGTCACACCTCAAGGGCTTGGTGCAAGTCCCATGGAAGAAAACGATAAGAAAAAACAAGATGAGAGCGTAGAAATGAGAGGATGAACTAAACGTTTGCTGATTTTCCACTATTGCTAAGACTCAGTTTCCTAAAGGAGGCATATAGGTTAGGCGGAGAATAGGATTTCCTCCTGAGAAGGCCCGTGGCTGGGGAGACAGGGTCACCGGTGTGGACTGGACTGGGGGGAGTGGCACAGTGGTCCAGAGAGAGGGAATGGCAGACGGGGGTGGAGGCCCAGTCGCCCTCCTTCCTTGTGCCTGCCCTGCTCATCCCCTTCTCCAGCCATCGCTCCCTGACAAGAACCTCTCTCCAGCCCCCTCCGCCCTCCTGGCTGAGCGCCCCCAACCCAGAACTCATACTCACAGTCAGGCAGGAGCAGAGAGAACAAGAGGGGCTCCCTCCGTGCAGTTAAATGCACCCCTACTCCTCCCCCGGGGAGCCCAGGCTCCGGATGAGCCAATGGGCAGTGCCCGTGTCTGCTCCTCGGTCTCCTGAGATGCCTGGAGCCCAGTCTCCTGACGTCCGGGCCAGGCCTTCCCACTGGTCTGGGCTGTGTGAGGTCTCTGGTCTGGAGTTAAAGGGGAACAACGCAACACAAATGGATACTCAGACCTCACATCCCAAGCTCAGGCTGTAGCCCACCCGGGGGTGGCTCTGCCAAAGCAGGGTCAGGGCGTGGAGTGCAGGGTCTTGGTCGGTCCAGCAGGCTCCAGATGTCAGGAAAGGAATAAAGCGTTCTAAGGAAGTAAAGCTTTTATTGAGCATCTACTATGGGGGAATTTCTGAAGGATCAGTGGTACTCATATAATGTTTATGGGAGAAAGGGGGGATCTAGAAGCAGGAGAATGAGGTTATATGAGGGCCTGTTGAAGTGAGGATCTTATCACCCCATTTTAGAGGTGGGCCCTCTTGGGTTAGAGACTTTAGGAGACTTGTCCTAGGTCACTCAGTGGATCTGTGGCAATGCTGGGATGGGGCATCTGATCCAAATCTGGCTCTCCCCACTTCACCCCTGTCTCTGGTCACTGCTCGGCCTGGCAGGAGCCTGCGGAGATCAGGGAAGGCTTCATGGAGGAAGGGACATTTGAGCCAGGCTTGGGAGGTTGAGAAAGAGACACAGAGGCAGAGGAGGAGAGGGAGCTGAAGCTGGGGCTTGACATGAGGGGATGAGGGGGCGATGATGGTGGGCATGGGGTTGCATGGTTGGTCCCGAAGCCTTGGAGGTGGGAACCAATAAAGATTGTGTGACCTGGAGCCCAGGACACCCCACCCACTTCAGGACATCTGTGTGGGCTTGTGTCAGCCCTGCTGGGTTGAGGTGGCAGCAGGTGGCCAGTGGACAGCCAGCCTGGAGGGTCTCAGAGGCGTCTGGAACTTTCCACACCCTGTTCACTCCCCAAGCTCAGGTGTGAGATGTGCAAAGTGGCGGGGGCGGGGGGAAGGACTTCCTTACCCAAGCTGAGTGTATCTCATGTGCCCCCTCACTCCCTGGGCCCAAGGCAGCCCTGGCAACACTGCCCTTCCCACTGGGCCCTTGATGCCTCCATTTGTCCACGACCCTCCTGCAGGGTGGGGCCTGGGCCTGGAGGCAGAAGCCCAGGCAGGGGTGGACCCCGGAGACCACACGGCTCTTGCTGTGGTCTTCCTGGACACGCATTCGGTCTGCTCAATTTTTTTGCAAGGCAGACCTCTGAGAACTGTTTGCTTGCTGTTCTTAAGCCCCCGTCTCAGTTTCCTAGGGCTGCCAGACAAGCTACCACGAACTGGGCGCTTAAACAACGGAAATGTATTGTCCCACGGTTCTGGAATCCAGGCACCAGCAGGGTCTTGCTCCCTCCGAAGGCTCTGGGAGCACCCACCTTGCACCTTCCAGCTCCCAATTTCTGCGTCTGTCTCCACATGCTTTCCCTTCTGTCTCCACATGCTTTCCCTTCTGTCTCCACATGCTTTCCCTTCTGTCCACATGCTTTCCCTTCTGTCCACATGCTTTCCCTTCTGTCTCCACATGCTTTCCCTTCTGTCTCCACATGCTTTCCCTTCTGTCTCCACATGCTTTCCCTTCTGTCTCCACATGCTTTCCCTTCTGTCTCCACATGCTTTCCCTTCTGTCTCCACATGCTTTCCCTTCTGTCTCCACATGCTTTCCCTTCTGTCTCCACATGCTTTCCCTTCTGTCTCCACATGCTTTCCCTTCTGTCTCCACATGCTTTCCCTTCTGTCTCCACATGCTTTCCCTTCTGTCTCCACATGCTTTCCCTTCTGTCTCCACATGCTTTCCCTTCTGTCTCCACATGCTTTCCCTTCTGTCTCCACATGCTTTCCCTTCTGTCTCCACATGCTTTCCCTTCTGTCTCCACATGCTTTCCCTTCTGTCTCCACATGCTTTCCCTTCTGTCTCCACATGCTTTCCCTTCTGTCTCCACATGCTTTCCCTTCTGTCTCCACATGCTTTCCCTTCTGTCTCCACATGCTTTCCCTTCTGTCTCCACATGCTTTCCCTTCTGTCTCCACATGCTTTCCCTTCTGTCTCCACATGCTTTCCCTTCTGTCTCCACATGCTTTCCCTTCTGTCTCCACATGCTTTCCCTTCTGTCTCCACATGCTTTCCCTTCTGTCTCCACATGCTTTCCCTTCTGTCTCCACATGCTCTCCCGTTTATGGCATAAAGTCCTTGGCTCCAGGGTTCATCCAGAAGGATGGAAACTCAGCCCTGCATGTGGGGCAGGACTAAGCCAGAAAGGCTTCCTGGGAGAGGAGAGCGTCCAGCCTGAGAGAAGAAACCAGCTGAGGGGGCAGAGTTAGCAGCACAGGCTGAGGAGTTTGCACTCCAGGCTCCTTTTCACACCCGGGGCTCCCAGCCATGCCTTCCCTCAGGTCCAGGGCATCCCAAGGCAGGGAGCCCCCTCCCCACCCCCAACACTGGGACACCCTCCTGAAGGGGCAGTGTTTGGCAACAGGGTGAGCTGTGTCAGCACCGAGAGGAGGGAGTCTGAGGGCCTTGGTGACGCCTCTGAGGCCTGCAGGCCGTCACCAGGACTCCCTACCAGGGCACACGCATCTCAAATGCAACATGGTCACCACTGGCCGCACCACCGGCCCTCCCGCCTACCCCTGTCAGTTCCTCACTCAATGCCCTTTCTCAGGAAGCCCAGCCCACGGCCTGCGCCAGCTTACAGGGCATCACCCTGCTCGTCCCTCTCCCTCACACCCCTCATCTCATCTGGTACCAAGTCCTGCCAATCCTACTTCCAAAGGAGTCTCGGTCCAGGTCCTGAACCTTAGTCCCGGGTCTCCTCTAGGCCTGGTGCCAGACACAGCCCCACCTCTCCCTCTGCTGCTGGAGGATCCTCTGGGAAAGCAGACCTGACCTCCTCTCGCCCAGGAAAACCCCACCAACCCCACTGCCAACCAGGAAAGGCCAGCTCTTATCCCGCCCCCTCCCTGAGGGGCAGCTGCCCTCCAGCCAGGCCAAGCTGCTTGCACTCTGCCATCCACTCCTCCGCCCAGCCTGTCCTCCCTTCCCTCAGCGACCCTGGCTGCCGCCTGGGCTTGCTCTGGGGCCTCAGGCGCCACCTGCTGTCCGAAGCCCTCTCTGACCGCTCTTGCCCCAGCGGCGCTGAGTTGCTGCAGTGTGAGGAGTCTCGGAGCCCAGATTTCACATTGTGTCCCATGTGGAGGGCACTTGGCAGCGCCACTGGCCCGGGCACCTGGTAGCCTCCCACCCCCATCCCAGGGCTCCCTACTGGTCCACTTATCCACCGTCTCTCCTCCCTTTCCTCCTTCTTGCCCCCATGGCACCCTGCCCTAAACTCTCCTTCCTGGTTTCTCTCCCGGTCAAGGAGGTCAGGATCCTCTACATCAAAATCTGCTCTCTCATGAGACCCGAAGCGCCCTCACACTGACTTGAAAAACCTGCCTTCCCTCAGGTCCGGGGCTGCCCCATAAGCAAGTTGTTTGGCTCTGGGGGCCGTTTGCTCTCTGAGCAAAGCTTTTGTGGCAGCCTGTCCTTTCTAGTTCATTATCTGGGCCGGGCCTAGTCCAGGATCTGTGGACTGAGCGCTCTGGCTGCAGGGCTGACCTTCCTTTCTCTGCATCCTGAGGCCTCCGGCCCCGCCAAGTGCCGCCTGCATTGCCCACACCAGCCACAAGGTGGCACCCAAGCACCACGCCGGGCAGATGCTTCCTGGGGTCAGGCCTGTGCTGGAGCCACTGTGCCTGGGGAAAGGGGCAGCCTGTGCCTGGCTTGGCTACTTAGTTTGAGAGACTCCTCAACCGTGGACATTCCTGGTGTGGCCCCCCTACTCCCTCTCGGACTGTGAGCCTGAGTCAGTCAGAACGTGCTGGTGTCAGGGCAAGAGACCCGGCTCTGTGTGGTCCTGGCAAGTTGCTTCCTCTCTTCGAGCCTCACTGTGCTCTTCTGAAAAATGGGCATGACAACACCAACCCCACTTTCATTCACTCATTCAGTCAGCACATGTTACTGAGCACCAGCTGGCTAGGTGTAGTACACAGCTGTGAACAAACAGAGCCTCACAGGGACGTTGTAAGGATCAAACGAGGTAACGTCTGTACCTTATTTAGCAGTTTCTAACACAGTCTATAAATATTAGACTCTCTCTCCAATAGTCACAACAATCCTATGTGGTTGGACTGAGTATTACCCCAATTGTATGGACGACGAAACAGGTAAAGGCCACACCCTGGCCAAGGCCAGGCTGCCAGGAAGCGGCAGAGCTGGGACTTGAGCTTGGGCTGATGCTGCTCCCCATTGCTGCTGTTCCCACACTTAACTCCTGCGTGTCTCCTCTGAGCCCTCTCCAAATCTTCCCCAGAGGATCTTGGACCAACCTGGTTCACTTCCTCAGACCCCGTCCAGACCCTCAGCCTCTGCCCTCCCCGGAGTCCCCGATTCCTCCTGCAGGTGTGGGATTCTCTGGCCAGGTGGTTACCAATGATTCAGGGGCTCTAAGAAAGTCCCAGACCCAGCTCCCTTGTGCCACAGCTTAGGCCAGGCCTGCCAGGGAACAGAGGCCAGAGCTGGCTGGCCCCGGCCCATAATGATCGCCCATCACTACTGAGCTCAGACCGTCTCTAAGGGGCAGAGACTTTCTCTCTCAGAGAGATTGTGGGGCCCCATCTGACTGGAAGGGGGCTGTGGCCTTGAAGCTGTGTGTCTATAGCAAGCTCTGTTTCGGCACAGGCTGTGGTTTATTCGGGGGCAAGGCAAGCCAAAGAGAGAGGGTCCTGGAGCTCACAGTTTACACGTCTCAGCAGGGAGAGGTGGGAGGCACGTACCCCCACTCCGCATGCCCCTGGGCGTGTGTCCTTTCTGCATGTATTTTGAGCATCTCCCGTCTTCTTACTGACTCCCGGTTGTGAGTTGCCTGGGAAGAGGTAGGGCCTGGGTCTCGTCTCGCGCTGGCCGAGGCATGCGCCCCAGCGTGTGTCAGTGAGGCTGCAGGGAGTGACTGAGCTGGGAGGCTGAGGAAGGCTGTGGAGCATTCCCGGGGCTTGGCCACCACCAGCTGGGTGACCTTGGCAATGACCTGCGGCCCCAGATTCTCAGCTTCCGTGTCTGTGACATGGTAGGGATGTTTCTTATGGCTCTGGAATAGCAGACCACACTTGTCTGCCTTGTCACACGTGGTTCTCGCCATCACCCTGCGGGACAGATATTGCTCTAGTGTTTAATCAACTATCCACCTGGGCTTGGAGGGCTTGGGGCGCCTCAGATGGACCCTGCCCTGTCCTTCCTCCCACTGCTCAGAAGGGCTTCTAACCAACACGGGAAACTCCAGGGCCTGCTATGGAGCCTGGCACAGGCTAGGGAGCCAACGTATTTTTTGAATTGCCGGCTCCAAACCCTGTGCTTTTCTGTCCCACAAGCTGTGAGAATGTATTAGCCACAGTCATTTAGCGAACGTTTACTCTGAGCCAGGGCTAGGGTAGGCATTTTACTTTTTATTTACTTATTTAAAAAAAATTTTTTTGTTGATTTCAGAGAGGAAGCGAGAGAGAGATAGAAACATCAATGATGAAAGAGAATCACTGATCAGCTACCTACTGGTTATTGAGCCACAACACAGGCATGTGCCCTTGACCAGAATCAAACCCGGGACTCTGCGGTCCGCAGGCCAACACTCTATCCACTGAGCCAGACCGGCCAGGGCTAGGGCAGGCATTTTAGACACACCGTGTCTAACCTCACCGCCTCAGGAAATGGGTATGATAGCATCCCCAGTTCACAGATGAAGAAACAGACTCAGCGAAGTTAAATAATGTGCGTGACTCAACACAGCTAGTTGAGTGGCAGGGTTGGAGCCCAAATCAGTCTCATGTCAAAGCTAATATTCTCTGCAGGGAAAGGTGGTGGGAGGCGGATGAGCTTCGGGCCTCTGCGCCTCAGTTTCCTCATCAATGAAGTGGGGGTAGGAACTGTCCCTCTTGGGGCTTCTCGGAAGAGTAAACGGGCGGATGCAGGGAAGACGCTGAGGTCTGCAGTGATAATCATTTGTTTATCCTTTATCGCCATCATCATCTTTGCATCACCCTCCCTCCTGTGGCTGCTGTGAGTGGGAAATGGGTTAAAGGCGGGGCGGAGGGGGGGGTGCCCTGTGAACTTCCCTGGACGCCCCTGGTCAGGACTTTCCCCTTCAGGGATGTGGTGCTGGGCCCAGAACGCCCAGGCCCTGTTCCCTGGGTGTGGAGGTGCAGCTGTCCCAGCAGGTGTCCCGGGATGGGGTGGGGAGCGGAGGGTAGAGCTGGGCCTCCCTCTGCAGGATGAGGGCACTGGCAGGCTCTGGGGAGCTGAGAGGTGCCCCAGACCTCAGCTGTGGCTGAGGGTTACGCCAGCCCCAGCGGGAACAGCAGCGTGTGGCTGGTGCCCCTGGGCTTGGGCAACGCCGAGAAACCTGGGGCGCTGATGGAGAAACATCGGTGCCCCCAAGGGCTGGGGGAATGTGGGCCCCTGCGGAGAAAGTTGTGGCCGCGTGGGAGGAAGTTTGGAGGCTCAAACTTTTCTCACTCTGAGCTCATCCCCGAGGCCGGCTGAGTGATTTGCCACCAATTAGGCCGTAATGAGCTGGACCTCAGTGGCCCTGAGGCTCCCGGGGGGGACGAGGGCTCAGCAGGACACCTGGGGCCCAATTACAGAGCCCGGGCCTGGCACGGGGTCCAGCTGCGCCCGAGCCCGCGGAGAGCTGCCGGCCCCAGGTGCCCACTTGGCTCGGCCAAACTTTTAATGAGTGGAAAT